TGCACATTGAGGTTGACGCTCATGTAAGGAGGCCGTCAGCTCCTCAAAGCGCATGATCAGACACACTTCCGCAATCCACTCCTGCACGGTCGGGGTGACCACAGTGTTCCAATGTCGAGGTGCCAGGTTTTCGGGCCGCAACCAAGAAGAAGCGGAGTAGATCCCTCTTGACCGAGGCAAGGGAGCCAGGTAGAATAGAGAGGAGAGATATTTTAGGGGAGGCTGCTAGATCTGTTTCCATTACCTGGTTATAAATGTCAAAGACCCGGTTCCAAAATGGCAGCACTAGCGGGCAGTCCCACCAAATATGCAGGAGGGTCCCCTCTGCAGCCAGGCAGCGCCAGCAAAGGGAGGGCCTATCAGGAAATATTTTATGTAGGAGGGTTGGGCTAAGGTACCACCGAGTTAAGATTTAATAGCCCTTTTCTTGAGCCGAGCAGGCAACGGAGAGCTTATGAGTAATTACGCAGGAGGCTCGGATCTCTTCATCAGTAAAGGTAACACCCAAGTCCTTCTCCCAACTGGTTATGAAGGGGAGACAACCCCGGAATCTCATCGGAAGTAGCTGACGATACAAGAGAGATGACATGAGTGGGTGGGTCATCTAGACAACAGAGGGACTCGAACCAGGAGAGAGGGCGATGTAGGATGGCCCGGTCCCCCAACCGTAGAACGCCCGATGTTGGAAATATAATAGCCAGGCTCCGGGCGCATGGGGACGGCCCTCAAGTAGGGCGACCAAAGGCTTCAGGGTCGGTCCTGAGAGGTCCTCGGTCAAGGGTGAGGGCTCAGTGTATGACCAGCAAAGGAAACTAGAGGAGATGCAACCCTGTGGAAATGCCGGATTGCCCATTATGGGAGTCATGGGGCCCACACAAGAAGACAAGTCGTGTTTTGAGAAGAAGGTCCCAGGCTTTCAGAAGCGGAGGGAGAGCAAAAGGGAGAAGCGATGAGAAGGGGCAATCCAGGGTACCGAGAAAGGGAGCACCGGTGAGATAAGTGCTTCCAGGGAGACCCAGAGTTTGTGAGCCCTGTGGTGTTTCCGGTCAAGAATCTGGGAAAGGAGCGCAGCATAGTAGTAGGTCCGTAGGTCAGGTAGGGCCAAACCCCCTGATTCCTTAGAGCGGACCATGATGTGATAGGCCAGCCTCAGGCGCTTACCAGCCCAGATAAAGCAGAGCAACGTAAAGCGCATTTGACGGAAGAAATTAGAGGGCAGGACGAGGGGGAGAGTTTGAAAAAGATACAAAAAGCGGTGGAGAATATCCATTTTAAAGAGTGCAATCCTACCCAACCAGGAGTGTTGCAGGGAGGTCCACGTTTGCAGATGAGACAGGTGACAGTAGATTGAAGAAGCGGGGCAAAGTTCAGGCGATACAGGTGCGCTTGGTTCGGGGTTAAAAAGACGCCTTGCAATTTGAAGTGAAAAGTGTCCCCGCCCACTGCCTGCTGTCAATCAGCAGAGGAGGGAACAGAAGGAGAAAGTTCCCCATCAGGTCCTCTTCTGCTGATTGACAGCAGGCAGTGGGTGGGTGCAATAGCCAGCCTGATATTGCAATTTAAAATATCCAATAGCAGGCTGGCTATTGTTTCCAGCTGCTGATTGGGGACTTGACACCGATGATAGAACACCGCCAGAAGAGAAGGAGGAACGGGGTGGCCAGAGAAGGAGGAACGCGGCAGGCAGAGAAGGAGGAACGGGCAGCAGCGGAGGTACTGAGGGGGAGCAGCGGGGGAATGCAGTGACAGTCTCTCCTCCGTGCTGGTGCCGGGTGCAGTGGTCCATGTTCCCACTGCCTCTGCCGATACCGGCGGGGAGAGCAGCGGGGATTAGGAGCAACACAGACCGCTGCAGCTAGCACCAGTGGGGAGGAGAACATTGACGAAAATTGGGTGACGGACGAAAATCGTTTTCGTCCCATTAACTACTCTTTAATTTCATTTTTATCACTGAAAAACGGCCAAAAAACTTTCGTAGATTCTGAATCAGGAAATATAAAGGTAGCTGCAATCTCCAGCTGGCCAGACAACACTGAAGAGGGACGAAAGGGAGGGTAACACATAGAAAACACAGGGAAGGCACTTAATGGGGAGGAGGAAGGGGAGGGGGAGCTTCCGCCGGACCCAATAGTACATCCGTCACTGCGGGCGGCCCACTTAATTATATCAGAAGCGATGCACTAGTCAAGTGTCCATCATGAGGTCATCAGCCAAATTACAGGGCCCTAAATGCCGCTGAGTCCATGTACAAAATCCAAGGGCTCCACAAGGTTGCACATTGAGGTTGACGCTCATGTAAGGAGGCCGTCAGCTCCTCAAAGCGCATGATCAGACACACTTCCGCAATCCACTCCTGCACGGTCGGGGTGACCACAGTGTTCCAATGTCGAGGTGCCAGGTTTTCGGGCCGCAACCAAGAAGAAGCGGAGTAGATCCCTCTTGACCGAGGCAAGGGAGCCAGGTAGAATAGAGAGGAGAGATATTTTAGGGGAGGCTGCTAGATCTGTTTCCATTACCTGGTTATAAATGTCAAAGACCCGGTTCCAAAATGGCAGCACTAGCGGGCAGTCCCACCAAATATGCAGGAGGGTCCCCTCTGCAGCCAGGCAGCGCCAGCAAAGGGAGGGCCTATCAGGAAATATTTTATGTAGGAGGGTTGGGCTAAGGTACCACCGAGTTAAGATTTAATAGCCCTTTTCTTGAGCCGAGCAGGCAACGGAGAGCTTATGAGTAATTACGCAGGAGGCTCGGATCTCTTCATCAGTAAAGGTAACACCCAAGTCCTTCTCCCAACTGGTTATGAAGGGGAGACAACCCCGGAATCTCATCGGAAGTAGCTGACGATACAAGAGAGATGACATGAGTGGGTGGGTCATCTAGACAACAGAGGGACTCGAACCAGGAGAGAGGGCGATGTAGGATGGCCCGGTCCCCCAACCGTAGAACGCCCGATGTTGGAAATATAATAGCCAGGCTCCGGGCGCATGGGGACGGCCCTCAAGTAGGGCGACCAAAGGCTTCAGGGTCGGTCCTGAGAGGTCCTCGGTCAAGGGTGAGGGCTCAGTGTATGACCAGCAAAGGAAACTAGAGGAGATGCAACCCTGTGGAAATGCCGGATTGCCCATTATGGGAGTCATGGGGCCCACACAAGAAGACAAGTCGTGTTTTGAGAAGAAGGTCCCAGGCTTTCAGAAGCGGAGGGAGAGCAAAAGGGAGAAGCGATGAGAAGGGGCAATCCAGGGTACCGAGAAAGGGAGCACCGGTGAGATAAGTGCTTCCAGGGAGACCCAGAGTTTGTGAGCCCTGTGGTGTTTCCGGTCAAGAATCTGGGAAAGGAGCGCAGCATAGTAGTAGGTCCGTAGGTCAGGTAGGGCCAAACCCCCTGATTCCTTAGAGCGGACCATGATGTGATAGGCCAGCCTCAGGCGCTTACCAGCCCAGATAAAGCAGAGCAACGTAAAGCGCATTTGACGGAAGAAATTAGAGGGCAGGACGAGGGGGAGAGTTTGAAAAAGATACAAAAAGCGGTGGAGAATATCCATTTTAAAGAGTGCAATCCTACCCAACCAGGAGTGTTGCAGGGAGGTCCACGTTTGCAGATGAGACAGGTGACAGTAGATTGAAGAAGCGGGGCAAAGTTCAGGCGATACAGGTGCGCTTGGTTCGGGGTTAAATCACTTCAAGTTCAGAAATTTCCAGCAAATAAAACACAGATAAACGCCAAGACTGATCCAGAAGGTGAAATCTAAAACCGAGTCGTATCTTCATGAGGTCCTCCAAGAGCTAGAAGAAGCCAATGGCAGCCCACCAGACCCGGCCTAGAACTTCATTTATAGATGGACGGACTCTTCTAAACTTTTATACAGCCGCACCCCATAAATCTAAACCTGCAGAGCCCACACAGAGCTGGAGGTCCGCCCTCTAAAGGGGAAGCAGAGAGGATTACACACCCGAATCTTATACATCAGGTGACCATGAGAGGAGGGGAGGACCGAGCCTGGGAGAATGTCAATCAATGATGGATTACTTATACAAACAGTGTATATATATAGCTATCACATCTATCTATATATATATATATATGTCACAGGTCGTGTCTATTGCTCAGGAAGTGAGCAGAAACATACCGCCGATCCGCTCACTTTCTGATCTGCTCCCTGCAGAGAGCGGTGACTGTCAGTCCCCGCTCCCTGCTTGGTTGCACCCCTCTCCAATCCTCCAGCGATGATTGGAGGAACAGACGGGGGAGTGGGCAGGCACAGCTGGCTCTGCCTCTAGAGAGGCAGAGTCAGCTGTCCATCAGCCAGCGGGGTGGATCACGACAATATTGTTGGGATCTGTCCCGGCTGCGGCGCATTCAACATATAGCGGGCTATTGCTAAGTTTTGGGTCACACAGTATATGTCCTCCCGTGACCCTGAGGAAGACCATGGGCTAAAAAGATTACCTTTAATGCACAAAACAATTGTACACGATGTGTCAGAGTTGTTTTGGGTGTTTTTGTCTTTTAACTCATTTTATATTTTGTGCTACAGTTCTACCAAATATCATGACCGGTCTCTAGGAAACTGTTGACTGTCAGATAAACATACATGACTCTGATTACTGACGTGTGTAATCATTTCTCTCCAGCAGATGGATGTGATGTCAGGAATACCTCGGAGAGACATCTTATATTATCTGCTGATTGTAAGTCAGAAGATAATGTCATCACACAGGATTCTCCAGGAGTGAATCCAAACACACAAAATATACATCACAGACCTCACTGTTCGGAGACATCAGTGGATCCCTCTGATCAGGGTGAATCTTCTGATCATTCACATACTATGACTGGAAATATCCATCTAAGATCTCAGACTGCAAGAGATCCATCTAATCCCGAGGAATCTTCCTCACCCCATGAAGGAGATCACAGAGGTGAGGATCCATTCTCCTGTTCAGAGTGTGGAAAATCTTTAAGTCGTAGAGTACACCTTGTTAATCACCAGAGAATTCACACGGGTGAACGTCCTTATTCATGTTCAGAGTGCGGGAAATCTTTCACTAAGAATGCAGACCTTGTTGTACACCAGAGAATTCACACGGGTGAGCGTCCTTATTCATGTTCAGAGTGCGGGAAATCTTTCACTTGGAAAGGACAGCTTGTTAGGCATCAGAGAATTCACACTGGTGAGCGTCCTAATTCATGTTCAGAGTGCGGGAAATCTTTCACTTGGAAAGGACAGCTTGTTAGACACCAGAGAATTCACACGGGTGAACTTCCTTATTCATGTTCAGAGTGCGGGAAATCTTTCACTGAGAAAGGAACCCTTGTTATACACCAGAGAATTCACACGGGTGAGCGCCCTTATTCATGTTCAGAGTGCGGGAAATCTTTCACAGATAAAAGAGCCCTTGTTATACACCAGAGAATTCACACAGGTGAGCGTCCTTATTCATGTTCAGAGTGCTGCAAATCTTTCACTCAGAAAGCAAACCTTGTTAGGCACCAGATAATTCACACGGGTGAGCGTCTCTATTCATGTTCAGAGTGCGGGAAATCTTTCACTTGGAAAGTGCAGCTTGTTAGGCACCAGAGGATTCACACGGGTGAGCATCCTTATTCATGTTCAGAGTGCGGGAAATCTTTCACTCAGAAAGGACAGCTTGTTAGGCATCAGAGGATTCACACGTGTGAGCGTCCTCATTCATGTTCAGAGTGCGGGAAATCGTTCACTCGGAAAGGTCACCTTTTTAGGCATCAGAGGATTCACACGGCTGAGCGTCCTTACTAATGTTTAGAGTGCGAGAAATCATTCACTCATAAAGGAGACCTTGTTAGACACCAGAGGATTCACATGAAATACAACAAGCTGTTGCGCTAGGAGTAATAAACACTTGGTGATAAAATACCGGCCGCAACAATGTATGCTGATAACCGGTGCATATTATATTGTTAGTATGTTGCACTAGGTCCTAATTACCAATCTGACTTTAAATATTGTATCAACATTCAATCTCCTCCAAAGAGTGCAATATGTGAATATACGGGAATAAATATATAAATAATTTGAGTGGAATATCTGAATATAAATATATATAAGTTACTAATTAAAAAAAACTTCCTACAAAGAATGGACTGCGTCTTTGGTCATAAATACGGTGCAAATAGGCATATATACATCTCTTAGTTCACCCCCCAGTGATCGTTAATCCAACCTTATAGACATTGGTGACAGGAAAATATTAAAGTGCAATTACTCAAATGCCCAGAGAATCGTATAGTTTGTTTTCCGTTAATCATTTTCCTATGGCCATTCATTCATTAAAATCTCAAAACGAATTAGTCAACTAAACATGAATTTGTAGTCCATCACCAGAGTGAGTTTGGAGTGGTCAATTTAATCCCCAGGTCTCATCGATGATGTTGGATGATCTGGATGATATTTGCAATTGATCAATAGTAAAAGTGATCTGTTGCTGCACAGCTGAATAATGAATTTGGATCAGGTCTCCACTGACTGAGTGTAATTTACAATAAAAAAATTAATATATGCGGCACCCGTGAGGAAGGCATCACAGCACTACTATCCATTGTTTGCTGTTGCCGTTCCTCGTTTGGTTGCTGTGGTATGCTCCCTTGACACGACCCTCCTGCCTAGTAGCTTATGCCTGAAAAACCATCCCTTTTCGAATCTGAATTTGAGTAGAACAATTGGTTCCCTTTCCATTTTCTTGCACTTCTTTTGCCTTAAATTGGCTGCTCGAGAAATCCTTGCGTGATATACATTTTCTGTTCCCCTGAAGAAGCACCGATGGGCAAAACGTGCTCATGTTGGGACCTTATATGAAATACTGTATGTCTAGCTTTGGAAACTAATCGTTTAAGCTAAATCTGTGTGGCATCACTATCATGTGGTGAATGTATTTTAACCTCTTGCCGTCCGCCCGTAGTAAAAAAACGGACGGACGGCACTGCAGCATCTGCGGGTTGCCGTCTCCAGACGGCAATTTTTTTCTGCTCGCGCGCGCCCCCTAGCGGGCACCCTGGCTACCTCAAGCCGTAAAGGAGATGGACAGAGCCTCAGCAAAGTTGAGCAGAAAAGAATCCATGTAGAATCCTGGGGGTAATTTGCCTGCATGGAAAACCCATTGCTTATTAGCCCAACAAAAGTCTAGAATGAAATAACAAGATGTGTCCCTAGAGACATCAATGAGGTTCATTTAAAAGTGAGAAAACTTTGAACAAGATTGGCAAAATTATCTGTAAACTGAACCCAGGCAGTTGTGTTCATCCCTGCTAAGGAGGACTGACCTTCATCCAACTAACACCTATGGATCCTCAGCAGCAGTCAGGTTGTATAGAACAGTGCTTCTTAAAGTGTGGGTCGCTATCTGTAGAGATTTTAACAGAAACGCCATTTTGTTCATACTGTACATGATAAGTTTTGGTTAGTTGTGTATTGTGTACTCTTAATGGCATGCTCCCCCCAATTCTTCTTCTTACCAAGTTTAAGAAGGCCTGGTATAGAAGATAGATGCTAAGTAGGGTTGAACACAAATTTGTAGGGACCGAGGAAACTATATGGAAGTGAAGTAGAATACTATGGCATATTTTCAAACTGGAAGAAAGGTGATGTTCACAGAACATTACTGGAAGCAAGATTGTATTTATTTTTATTAACTTTTTATTATGAATGAAATGATTTACCAATATGTAGGAAAATCTCTATAGACAACAAAGAGGTATTCTAATGCTCACATATTATATAGTCATATGGGATGTGGAGGTCACCTGTATCATACAAGACAAAGCAATTTTCGTAGCTCAGTTTTGTAGTTATCAATTTATTGTATACTATACAAACCCTCAGGGAATAGTGACACCATCACATGTATATGTACCTGCTGATCACTAAGGATACAAAAAAGATAAAATCAGCACATAGTTTAACTTTTCAGCAATCACAAAAAAGTTACTTTAAGGTGGATCAATTTTACTTTTAAGTTTTTAAGCTCTAGGTATGTTATAGAGAGATAACACTTTTATTTTCTTCATTGCAGATAGTAAAAGCTGCTTCAAATGTCCTGATGAAGAGTGGCCTGATGAGAAGAAGGTGAAGCATATTCTTAAAACATATGAATTTCTGTCCTATGAAAATGATGTGATGGGTTTAATCTTTTCATTGGTAACCTCAATAGCCTCAGCCATTACATTTATTATATTACAAAACTTTATTAATTATTGGGACACTCCAATTGTGAAAGCCAATAACCGGACTGTAAGCTTCATTTCTCCTCGCCTCCATCTTGTTGAGCTTCTTCTGTGTCTTCTTGTTCCTCGGTCGTCCTGTGGATATAATGTGCATGCTGAGGCAAAGTTAATTTGGGATCTTCTTCTCCATAGCTGTCTCTTCTTTTCTGGCCAAAACTATCACTGTCTGTATCGCCTTCAAAGCTACCAAACCTGGCAGTTCCTGGAGTAAATGGATCACAGCCAAAATATCATATTCTTTGATCCTAACCTGTTCCTCTGTTCCTAAGTTCTGATCTTTGTCTGTCAGTGTCTCCTCCCTACCAAGAGTATGACATGCACTCATATCCTGGGAAGATCATCAGTCAGTGTAATGAAGGGTCAGTTATCGGGTTCTACTTCATGTTGGGTTATATGGGGCTTCTGTCAGCTGTGAGTTTTGCGCTGGCTTTCATGGTGAGGACATTACCAGATAGTTTTACTGGCAGTTCCTGGAGTAAATGGATCACAGCCAAAATATCATATTCTTTGATCCTAACCTGTTCCTCTGTCTAAGTTCTGATCTTTGTCTGTCAGTGTCTCCTCCCTATGACATGCACTCATATCCTGGGAAGATCATCAGTCAGTGTAAGGAAGGGTCAGTTATCGGGTTCTACTTCATGTTGGGTTATATGGGGCTTCTGTCAGCTGTGAGTTTTGCGCTGGCTTTCATGGTGAGGACATTACCAGATAGTTTTAATGAGGCCAAGTACATCACCTTCAGCATGCTGGTATTCTGCAGTGTCTGGATTGCCTTGATCCCGGCTTATCTGAGCACCAGAGGAAAATGCATGGTGGCTGTGGAGATATTTGCCATATTGGCCTTCAGCGCTGGAATACTAGGCTCTATATTTTCGCCAAAATGTTATATTATAATTTTTAAACCCAAACTGAACACCAGGAAACAGACAGGTTGTAGAAATAACATTTTCCCATAAGGAGTGAGAACTATCTGTAGAGATTTTAACAGAAAAGCCATTTTGTTCATACTGTACATGATAAGTTTTGGTTAGTTGTGTATTGTGTACTCTTAATGGCATGCTCCCCCAATTCTTCTACTTACCATTTTCCCTGGTCAGAGTACAAGTTCTCTTTAAATATTACATGTTTTAGTTATTAGCTAGCTATCACGTCACATTCTCAAAAAGTCCATCCCCACACAGCTATCTTCTCATGTACCACTTGTCCCTCCCTTTTAGATTGTAAGCCCTCATGGGCAGGGCCCTCCTTAACATCTTCGTCTTGGATTGTATTGTAATTGTAATGTCTTCCTTATATTGTAAAGCGCTGCACAAAATGTTGGTGCTATATAATTCCTGAATAATAATAATAATAATATCATGCATGTAGATATTTTAGTTATATATATATATATATGTATGTATGTATTTATTTATTGTATATATATGTTAGACATGTGCGATTTGGTTCGTTCCGAAATTCGTTTTGGACGAATTTTCGGAAATTCGGAGATTCGGATGCATCCGAATTCCGAATTAAAGCTAAGACGAATGCAAAGGAATCCGAAATTCCCGATTTCCCGAAATTCGTTATTGTAGGAATTTCGTTGCAGCAAAACGACATTAGGAAAAAAAAAAATTACAACATTTACCTTCTACAACATTTCTATGGCTAAAGTACAGAGTACAGCCAAAAATGGGGGGAAAAAACGTGGGGTCCCCCCTAACAGTCCTACCAGACCCTTGATCCGAGCACAGGCCCGGCAGGGCAGGAAAGGGGGGGGGGGGGATCGAGCGCCCCCCCTCCCTGCGCCTTACCAGGCCACGTGCCCTCGGCATTGGGAGGGTGTCCCCATGCCGATGGGGACAAGGGCCTCTTCCCCACAACCCGGGTCAGGGTTGTGGGGAAGATTATATAATATAATCAGTTTTTATCATGTCTTTCCATCTTCCAGCAAAAGCTTCACAGATATGTCAGAAACGGTTATTACATCGATTATACAACAGGAGAAATGTTCCAATTTATTGAGAGAGGAAAATTGGCATCCTTGCTAATTGCAGCAAATTGGGTATTCCTGGAAAGTCTAGCTTTTGATGAAATTACATTTCTTACCAGCGTGGTCGAGTTTGGTGATGGTGGTAATCTGAATACATTTGATTTTGCAAAACAATTTTACTGGATCAGAGGATCAGTAAGAAGTCTATGTTATTGGAAAAAAAATGTTTCTTTCTCTGTATATATAAATTGTGTATAAAACCATGTAACTATTCATTTATATAATTCTTATTAATAATAGGAAACTGGATTTTATATAATAATAATAATTAACTGGAATTTGAACTATATTATGCATGTTTTCTGTATGTGTAAATTATCAGTTTTCTGCCATAAAGCTCACTGCCACTTCCTTTCCTGGCCAGCCAGGCTGCATGCCTGGATAAGGGTCTGATATAATTTTTTGTGGGGGCCCCATGCTTTTTTTTGCTTTTTGCTGCATGGGGTCCCCCCAAAATCCTTACACAATTTTTATTTTTTGTGAGGAGTCCACCACAACAACTATACCAGAAAATTATCTGGTATATATTTTGAGTCAG